AGGCTTCCCTCCTGATTTTGAATTTAAACTTTGTGAGTAACTGTTAGGCCATATCACCTTATATCCCTCGATTGTTTCAGTGCTACGCAGATCCATCATTACCAATACAGACTGACACATGTTTGACTTTGGTTGGCAACTTGTATTAACTCCCTAATTTGCCCTCTTTGTACCATGTGTTGAATTGTGATTAGCTTTTACAAATTATACAGCCAACAAACTCCAAATGACTATTGAAAGAGATTTGCATGACATCCATATTTATGTGAGTTTAAATAACTCCAAATGACTATTGAAAGAGATTTGCAAGACACCCTATATTTATGTGATGTGATATTTTTATATGATTCTCTTGCTTAACAGCTTATGTAAATCAATTGTTTATGCAAAACATAAAATTTAAAATATAACAATATCGTATCATGAAGGTATTTAAGATAGATTAAAATAAATCATCTTAAATTAAAGTGGTTAATAAAATAAAATATTATATCACATCACTTTTTTTAAAAATATTTTTTATACATATTTTTACAAAAAAAAATTAATTAAAATAATTTATTCCCAAATAAAACCATATATATGTATTAAATTTTATTTTAAACTTAACCGAATTAAACCATTTACACCTTACACTTGGAACAAATTATCAAAATTGGCCGTACCCTCTAGAGAGGTCCAATTAGCATTCCTACTTGAATTGTATTTATCTATGATAGTTGCCATTGCCCACATTGTTACCTGTCATAAATTTATTTCTCACCTTGTGTATATATATTTATATTTTCATAAATGCCTCGTAGCTCGATTTATTGAGGTTTGAGTGGCCCGAAGTGTTCTCTCTCCTCTCCTCTCTATCTCTATCTTTATCTTTGTTCTCATCTCCTCTCATCTCTAATTGTTCTCTCTTCTTTTTTCTCTATCTCTGTTCTGTTCTTCTCTCCTCTCCTCTCTAAGGGTTTGTGAGAGAGAAAAGGGGAGAGATGGAGAGAGGGAGAGAGAGAGAGAGGGTCACGAGTGATGTTGATAGTGGCTCCAGTGGGTGGAGAGGTTTGCGACGGTAATGGCGCGACCCTCCTCTGTATTTGTTGTCATCGACATCGTGACCTCCCTCGTCTTTGCCCAACAATACAGCGGCGCAATAAACGATTTCGGCAACACCATAGTCTACACCTTCAGTGAATGCATAAAAGACCTTTCTCACTCCAATTGCGACCTCTATTTCGCCCAAATCAAAACCTAGATCCTTCGTTGCCTCCATTTCCAACGTTTGATTCGTAGTGGTCAATTGTTCTACGATGGGTGTTACTTGAGGTACGAAAATTACATGTTCTTCAACGAAAGTTTAAGTGGATTGGATCGAACTGTGTGTGGGTCGAGTGGGTTTGTGGATGGGAATGTGACTCTATTTCGAGAAAATATTGGTGATTTGGTGAGGAATTTGAGCTTGGAAGGTGTTAACAATGGTGGATTCAATGTTGGGTCTATGAGTATAGGGAATTTAACGGTTTATGGGTTGGCTCAGTGTTGGGAATTCGCTATTGGGTTTGTGAGTAGATCTGTCTCCTTCTCTTCTTCTCTCTCTCTCTCTGTTAAAGAGAGAGAGAGAAGAAGAAAAAAAAAGTGCCAAAATGACGTTTTGGTACCTCGAGCCAGCTCATTTTCGAGCTACGTAGCAAAGTTGTTATATTTTTATGTAAGGAGTCCTCATTTTATATATAGTATGTACAATTAAGGGTGTTGTCACGACCCAAACCTACCCCTATAGGTTTAACATCATAACCCATCAATAATCTTGGTATTACCCAAGACCTCTAAATAGATTAACATATAATAAGGGACTGGCGGAAGTAATAGTAAACATATAACGTCCATAGAGCTATGTTTATATACATGGGACTGCAATTATTAAAACTTAATTTACATAGTTAAGACGTCATACCTACGTCACCATTCATACGTACAGACAAACAAAAGGCTTGTTCAAACTTAACAAGGAAATACAAAAAATCTTTAACATGATTCCAAAACTAGGCCACTGCAAAAAGGGAACCTCCTCAAGAGGCACTGTAGTTGGATGACAAACAGAACTCCAGGCAATCAACTTTAAGCTTGGTCACACGCCTGGTCACCTACATACAAAAATAATACGGTGAGCTAAAGCTTAGTGAATAACAACAGAGTAAAGGATTTATGAATGATATCCAAACAGTTTCAAAAATCGTAATTCATATCAAAAACAAATTCAAATTCATATCCGTAACAAAAAATCATAAGCAATCATATGTGGTACATCCATTAGCTATCATATCATCTTGGTCCTGGGACCCATATGCATAGTTAGTACCGATGACCCTAAAGGTCCATATCTTGTGCACAAGTAGTCATGGTATCCTTTCCCCCGGGCAAGAGCCATGTATAAACCACGGTATTGTTTCCCCCAAATAAAAGCCATATGATCATAAGCCACGGTATTGTTTTTCCCGGGTGAGGGCCATATAAACATATGCCACGGTATTATTTCCTTAGGCGAGGGTCATGTGAATTAAGGATGCCACAAATACATTTCATAAAATTGGACATTCATTCACTATTCATAAAATAACGTTTCATAAAATAGTTAATATCTTATAATTATGAAAATATTTATAATCAAACATAGCTTTACAGAATTATTACTCACAGATAGCTCCGATAGCAAAACAGATAAAGTGGACGGATTGGATAGTCTATGGCGCGTTACCTACACAACATATAGTAGATTCATATTGAAACGCATACTCGAAATTCATTTACTTCATTTTTCTTTTGTTTGGGTGTGTTTCTAATCTTTATCCTCACTACTATATCTTAATTAGGGATTAAGAATGCCTAAGATGCAATAAGGATACCAAAATATGCCTTAGAACATTTAGTCAAATTTTCAAAAACTAGGTAGTCCGCTCGAGCGCAACATTGGTCGCTCGAGCTGCTTGCAAAGTCTATAAAAGTACTGGTTGCATGATTTTTTCGTTCAACGAACACTCGACAGTCACTCAAGCCAAAGACTAAGTAAAAAGGGTCTTCTATCAAGCATAACTTCCTATGCTCGAGCAATTTATAAAAGCCTATAAAACTTCTAGGAGCTCTCATTTTACGCTCAAGCGCAACTTCGATCGCTCGAGCAGAAGGTCAAAAAAATAAGGGTGGCCGCTCGACCGCAGATTCTGCCGCTCGAGCCAACCCCAAACTCCATAAAAGTACTGAGAGCTCATATTCTTCGCTCGAGTGCAGACTCCACCACTCGAGCAGAGGTTGCAAATTCTAAAATTTTCATATTGATGTTCAAGCTTGAAAACTCAAATTCAAACCAACAAAACACATCCTTTTGTGCCCAAAACTTGAGGAAACATATGTAAACTCATAGAACTTCATGATTTGAAAGCCTTTTCGCAAAATCAAAGCCCAAAAGCATGCCAATTATTCAAAAACAAACTTGAATTGTATGTATATATAATATGCATTTATTGTCTTGGCTCCAAAGCTTACAGAACATGATCAAATGAGGTTCAATGGTGAGAAATGTTGTGAATTCTTAAAACCATGCTAGAATTACCACATGCATGAGAGAAATCATTGGCAACAACTTCAAAACTCCATGAAATGCACATGCATGCATGAATCGATTCTCAATTCCATTCTTTAGCTCAATTCTCTTGTTAATTTACCTATCTCACTTGATTCCATGCATTAACCAACTAAATTACAAAACTAGAGGCTAGAATTCTTACCTGAGGTTCTTAATTCCTTAGGTAGCATTTGATAACTTTTACGTTTGTGGTTTATGTTTATAAAAATTTTATAAAATGATTTTTGTTTATTTTTAGAAAAACATAAACTAGAAACCTGTTTGGTTTGAACAAAATGTTTGAAAATTTTTAAAAACATAAACTAAAAAAATATGTTTGTTCAGGCCTAAAATATTTATATTTATTTTTTATTATTTCTGACAATGTGATCATACACATTATAATTGAAAAAAAGAGATTAATTAAAAAAAATTAATTGGAAAAAAATTATTTGAAAAAAATTATTTGGAAAAAAAAGTTAATTGAAAAAAAAAATTTGTTAGTCAAATTTTTAAATTTTTGTTTAAAAATCAACGTAAACTCCCATTTATAAACCAAAAAAAATTATCAAACAAGTTTTTATGACAGTTTTTAAAATTTTTGTAAATATAAATTGAAAATTGAAAACTAAAAAGTAAAGACATAATGGTTATCAAACATGCTCTTAATGTATGGAGATATTATTGAGCAATTCTCCAAGTCTCTTACCAATTTCCTTCCAAGCCTCAAGCTTGGTCTCAATTTTCTTAGTCTCTCTCACTCTCTCTCTCTCTCTCTCATTCGCTGCTTCAAAGATGAAGAAAGGAGAGTATAAAGTGTACTCTAGCACTACAAGAATTTACACATTTTGCGACCACTTTTGCCGACCAAAAAAATTTTGGTCGCAAAAAAATGACATTTGGCGACCAAATATTAATTAGTCGCGAATGATCATTAATTTTGGCGACCAAATATTATTGGTCGCAGAAGGTTATATTTTGGCGACCAAAAAATGAGTTGGTCGCAGAAAGTGGTATGCTTTTGCTGACCAACTACAAATTTAGTCGCGAAAGGTCACATATTTTTTGGCGACCAAAAATTTGGTCACCAAAAACTTATTTTCAGCAACCAAAAAAAATTAGTCGCCAAATTATATTTTTAGCAACTAATATTTTAGTCACCGTTGATTGAGATTTTGCGACTAAAAAATTTTGTCGACAAAGGCACCTTTTCTGCGACTAATATTGTCTTTTGGTCGCCAAAAGTTTGGGAGGGAAATTTGAAACATGGACGGGGGAAATGAAAATTTTTTGCGAGTAAAAAAATTTCTCTTCATCGTACCATCTCCCCTCTCTCTCTCTCTCTCTCTCTCAGGTCTCTGCAAAAGCTCTTCAAACCCCTACCCTCTCTCTGCATCAGACGCCAAATCCCAAACCCTCACTCTCTCTCTTCTTTAGACCCCAAATCCCAAACCCAAACCCCAACCGACATAACAATGAGTGAGAAGGAGAAGATGGACAAAGAAAATACACACAGACAGAGCTCTGAACCAGAAGAAAAGAACAAAGAAAGAGAAGTAACGACGGAGAGAGAAGATGGCTGAAAGGAGACGGAAGAGACGAACGCACGCACGCAAAGAACACTTCCACCCTTCAACCAGGTTTGTAGATTCAAACTAGGGTTTTGATTTGGGAATTTTCACTAAAAAATCAAGGTTTTGATTGAGCAATTCCAAAATTATGTAAAATTAGTGAACCTTAAGGAACTCTAGTTTAACAAAAAATTTGGTAATGTTATTAATTTTCACGAGTATCCAAAACACTGCGCACTGCAAACACTCGTACAGCCCTAAAAGGGTCGCCGTTCGACCGTGATTGTAAGCTCTGAGCTCTGGTCATGGCTTCAAAGAAGAAACCAAACAAGGCAAAGCGACCCAGACAAGGCTTTGAATAGCTCGACCGCTTCGATTCGCTTCCATGGAACTCTTCTCTCTCCGAAAACGACGACCCTTTCTTTATCTCCGTTGGCTCTAGCGAACTCGAGGGAGGTTCAATTTGTTTTCAATTTCAATTAAACGAAAATTTTGGGTTTTCATGCTGTTTTTCATTATGGGTTTCTGTTAGTTTTTGTGCACATGATTCAGAATTCTAAAAAGTTGAGTTCTTTTAGTTTCTTGCATTTTCTCGGCAACCAAACAAGGGTTGATGTTGGAAATTTTAAGAGATGATGATATATATATATTTTTTGGTTGTGAATGTAGGTTTTCTATCGCTTGAGGAGATTGATGAATCTGAGTATGGTTTGGAAATTCCTAAACCTGAGAGAGAAAACAAGAAAGAAAGGACTAAAGAAAATAAAAATGAGATAAAAAGAAAGCAAAGTGAAGTTGAGGATGAGCTTGGTGGTGAGGTTGAAGCTGTAAGTGAAGAGAAAGAAGAAAAAGAAGAAGAAGAAAAAGAAGAACAAGGATGCAAAGAATTCTGAGGAAAATGAAGAACCAACTGCTGGTTAGTGTTTTGAATTCTCTTCAATTTTTAATAATTTGAGTCAGAATTGTAATTCTACTTATTTATTTTTTAGTAAATTTATGGATCAGTATAAAATTTTGTTTGATTAGATTGAGGTTAAGGTTTCTTATAGATTTTGTTCTGAACATGTCAATGCTTTAGTATTTATCCATTTCTGTGCTAGATAAATCATAATTTGGTGTATTTTTGTCTCTCTACATGTTAATGGTAATTTATTGATCTTTGGGTTGGGAATGCATTTAAGGTTGACAAGTTTTGATCTATTTTTTCATATATAAATGATTTGGTAATATTTTGGTTCTGGTTCACTACAAATGTACTTGTTATGAGTCTGCCACTTATCAATTTCTGGGTCAATCTTAAAGTTAAGTTTATGAGATAGTGCAGACTGCTTCATAAAGTGATTAAATTTGTTAGATAGTTTGTATTTTGGATTCAGTTTGAACGAGTGTTTTTTTTATAAACAAAATTAAATTGTGACAGAAGTCAGTGATCCCAAGGATGATATTGAAGGAGATTCAGTTGATGAAGCTGAATATTATGCTTGGAATAAACTGAGGCTACTTCCCTGCTTATGAAAGCAATATATAGTCTTGGGTTTAAAGAACCAACACCAATACAGAAAGCTTATATTTTAACATGCTTCTGTTCTGTCTATCATCGAAGCTAGAGTTTTGTGTGTATAGAGACCTAGCAACTAGATGTGACAACTAAATTCGATTTGCCCTTATAGAAGATTGATGGTACTATCTTTTCACCTTTGGCTATCAGTTCTATTCTATGATATATGTTGATGAACTTAACAATGATTCTTAATGGGACAATGGGTAACATGTAATTAATTGAAACAGGTGACCATGGATCAATTTGGTTATGTGGCCTACATGAAGATGGGCTTACTATTCTGACAAATGGGTGTAGTTTATTAATTGCATGGAGAGGGATATCATTACAGTTCCCATGCTCTTACAAACCTGCTTAATTCCAAAGATTTTTGGGGTGCTTTCTCATAATTTGGGATCAGAAGCTGGGGCAGAGCTACTAGATATCTCCCCCTGCACCCCCAGTTCCCACTCTCAGTTATATAATTTTCCTACCCCTCTCCACTTTAGTGCTGCTTACCTTTCTCCACCATTGTTAGAAGTAGAAGGTGAAATTGTGGTATTTGATCAATATCTTGAATGTGGGGTACTGGGAGAATACACTTTCTATTCCTAGGGGAGTTGATCATGGCCCTCCATCTGGTATTTGATCAATATCTTGAATGTGGTATTTGATTAATATTATATATTTATCATGCTTCTCTTCTAAATTTTTCAATTCTGTTTCTTTATTAGGTGCCTTACATCATTACTGCTTTGATGGATGCGAAGCTTGGCACGGAAGGGCGCAAGGATCTTTTTGATTGGCTATCAAGGCAACTTAGTGGATTAAGCAATTTTCCTGATGCTGTAAATCAGAATTATGTATTGTTTCAATTTGTTATGCTAGATGGATGTGACTTGTGAATGAAAACTTAGAATAGTTGTATTGTGTCGAATGTTAATGATTCAGTTAATTTGAATGATGCTTTAAAATTATAGATTTATTATGGATTGAATGAATTATTAGGAATTACAGGTGTATTGTTTTCCTGCTTTGGCGACCAATTTATTAGTCGCGACAAATAAATAATTTTTTTCCGCAAAAAATTACAATTGCCGACCAAGAGTTTTGGTCGCAAAAAATACATCTATTGCCGACCAAAACAGCTCTTGGTCTTGGAAACTCACTTTTGCCGACCAAAAGTTTTGGTCACGAAAAGTAATAAATGGCGGCCAAATTTTTTGGTCGTGGAATGTCACAATTGGCGACCAAACTTTTTGGTCGTTGAATGTGATAATTGGTGACCAAATTTTTTGGTCGCGAAATGTGTCAATTGGCGACTAAGATATTTGGTCAGGAAAATATCACTTTTCGCGACCAAAGTGTTTCAGCGACAAAATGAATTAGTCGCGGTAATAAAATATTTAGCGACCAAAAATTTAGTCGGCAAATCCAACTTTTGCCGACCAACCAAAATTTTGGTCGCGAATTACTTTTGCCGACCCTCAATTAGCGACTAAAGTAGCGACCAAAAAAATTGGTCGCGGATAACTTTTGCCAACCAAAAATTGACTTTTAGCGACCAATTTTTTTGTTGCCAAAAGTGTTAATTAATCAAAGAGACCTATTTAAGCTTGGTTTAAATTAATCAAATTGGCATTAATTATCTTAATTAATTCGTTCTATATAGAATTTCAATTAATCCTACCATAAATTTCTAAAAATTCAAAATAACACATAAACAGAATCAATTTCGTAATCGGATGCCGATAAGGCTTTCAATTCGTATAATGAAACAGAAACATAAACAGATAGATCTACAACAGACAAATATGAATACAAACAACATAGAACACATGCAATTAACGTAGTATTTCATTTTAATCACTCATTAGGTCTTCTTAACCAAAGATTATAAGCTAATCACAGGTCGGAATTGTTACAGGTGTTAAACAAATCAAAAATATTTTAGAGTTCACTAAAAATTTTAAATCAATTGTTTATTCAAGCTAGTTCAGTAAATTTTAAAATTATATGCAAAAATTAAACCATTCGAACTTGGCTCGACAAAATCTCATTTGAAATCAGTTCAAAAGGATTTCATTTACATGTATTTTCGAAATACAATTTTGATTTTGGTATTTTGTCTTAATTATATTTGAAATTGAAGGGCAAATTACTGTTTAGTGGTAATTATATAAAATTATTTCATATTCATAAAAAAATTATGATTTTAATTATTAATATTTTTAAAATTGAACCCTTATTTATAATTAATTTCTAAACACTCATTGCCTACCATAAATTTCTAAAAATTCAAAATAACACATAAACAGAATCAATTTCGTAATCGGATGCCGATAAGGCCTTGAATTCGTATAATGAAACAGAAACATAAACAGATCTATCTACAACAGACAAATATGAATACAAACAACATAGAACACATGCAATTAATGTAGTATTTCATTTTAATCACTCATTATGTCTTCTTAACCAAATATTATAAGCTAATCACAGGTCGGGATTGTTACACGTGTTAAACAAATCAAAAATATTTTAGAGTTCACTAAAAATTTTAAATCAATTGTTTATTCAAGCTAGTTCAATAAATTTTAAAATTATATACAAATATTAAACCATTCGAACTTGGCTCGACAAAATCTAATTTGAAATCGGTTCAAAAGGATTTCATTTACGTGTATTTTCAAAATACAATTTTAATTTTGGTATTTTGTCTTAATTATATTTTAAATTGAAGGGCAAATTATTGTTTAGTGGTAATTATATAAAATTATTACATATTCATAAAAAGATTATGATTTTAATTATTAATATTTTTAAAATTGAATACTTATTTATAATTAATTTCTAAACACTCATTGATTTGAAGTTTGCTCTAAATTCAACCCCGTATAGTCTGGTTTTTTAATTCCATATTTTTTCCCCCAAATATAAGGGGAAAAGAAATTGTTCACCATGACCAAAACCCAAATTCAGACCCGTCCGATTTGGCAGTTCGCAGACCCAAGCGGCAAGACCCATCAAAACAGCTTGAATGACCCCAACAATCCAACACCCCCACTCACGGATAATTATTTAATAATATCAGAAAATAGATATGTGATATTTCATAATATTATAATTAATAAATAAATAAATAAATATAGTATTGTGTTAAATGTTTAAAAAATTTAAAGAACATATTAAATGATAATTGATTAAAAAGTGCTGACAATTCACGTGCTAGTCGAAATATTGAACAATTTTTCAACCGGGCACTAGTGAATAGAAACACACATTGCAAAGGCACCAAATCCTGATATCCCTAACATCTTTCGGTTCTCATCACTGTGCTAAAAATCGAGTTTCGATCGAAATCGGTTCCAAACCCTAATCTCAACTTTTGATTTTCCCCCCTTATTTTTTCCAGCATCTACAGTTTTTTCCATCACTTTTTTCAATGAAGGTTCGATACTTCTTGCATTCACTTTTTTTTCAGGATTTATTTGATTCGGTTTGATGGGGTTTATCTGTAGAACTTGATGATTCTCGTTGAGTTGTGTTTGGATCTTTGAATGCAGGTATTTTCAATGTTCTGATATTTGATTGGTAGTTGTGTGGGTTGGTATTGATTCCTGTGTATATTCCAAAATTGTATAAAACAGTTTCTTTGATTATTACATTGTTTGAGTTTTACTTGATGTGATTATAACCCACTTTCAATCAAATGTCGCACCTTTGGATTTGGAAGCTTATGGGTGATATATTGATCCGTGGTTTTTTACAATTTATTTGAGGTGTATTAGAATGTGGGTTTGACACAGAATTGGATTATTGTAGATACATTGTGTGAATTTTGTATGCATAGACCCATAAGCACATGGTGAACTTTTTCTATTTTAATAATTTTGATTTTTTAAAAAATTTGTTTGAATAAGAGTATATTATGAGATCTTTACTTTAGTCGATGTTGTAACATCTCATCAAAGTCTCAATCAACTGTTTATAATTATCATATTATTACAAGTTTTAAAACTTTTCTTAATCATTTCTAAATTTAAACAAAAATTCAATGAAATAGAAATCATTAGTTCGTCCATGAAATTAAGAGGATTTGGATCCATTTTGTCCCTTCAGTGGAAGTAGGGTTGAGAAAAATGACAAAAAAAGAAAAATAAAAAGGCAATGGGTTATCAAAGCAAATTAGTAATGGAGGTGGTTTGAAAATTAGTTCTAAGCAACTAATTGT